TTCTAGACTGAAATAATTATAAAGAGTGAAAGACAAGCTTCAACCTACAATGTTCATAATAACATTCTAAAATATCTTTTAGATTTCCAAGAATAAGAAAGAGAAAAACAACCCAATTTAAAGTGGGCAAAGAATATAAACAGTTCACTGAAGGAGAAATGCAAATGGGCATGTGGGAGTACAGGCTGTTCCAAATACCTCAGTAAAATTCAAGACACATATACCCTAAGACTTGAACATTCTGTTGCAAGGTATTACTGGATTCTTGCAAAGAAACTCTCCCATATATGCACAGGAGACATGTACAGAAATGTTACGGCAGATAAACCTTGACTCTTGAATGAATGGTATGGATTTGAACATGCTGCTTTACCTCTTTAAGCATCAATTTTCTTATATATAAAGATTAATCTACCTTACAGGGCATGAGAAAATGCATTAAGCACATGGTTTAACAAATAGCAGTCATAATTTTTTTTACTCAAATCTTACCAACTGTGGCCCCTGCTCCAAGATTCCTGTTGCAAAAGCCCTGTGTTATATGCCGAATCAGCACTCCAAACCAAACACTACCATTGAGTCAATGCCGACTCATAGTGAGCGTACAGGGCAAGGTAGAATGGCCCCTGTGGGTTTCTGAGACTGTAACTCGTTACAGAAATACAAAGTCCTGTATTTCTCCAGAGGAGCAGCTGGTGGTTTCAAACTGCTGACCTTGAAGTTAGCAGTCCAACATGTAACCACTATGCCACTAGGGTTCCTCCAATCAGCACTACATATACAAAAATGTCTTTTAAATAAGAAACGAGTATCTTATAGGAGGAAGTGAATTGATTCATCATCTCTAAAATTATAATAAATCAGAAGCAAACGGTTTTTGTCTCATTATATATATGTTATCATGTTAACTTACTAGTTTGCTTAAACATTCCCAAAACTCACAGTGAGATCACACAAAATACACCCACAGCTCAGGCAAACAGCATGGTGGGGGCTGGGGGTTTGTAGTGGTAGTGGAAAAGATAAGGTACTAGCTGAGGGATACAGAGATCTGCTCAAAAGAATAGCTTGTCATTTTTTCCCCCCTCTAGAACCAAAGAGGCAGATTGGAGCCATGGTAGCCTAAGCCCTCAGGGATCTTCCTAGCTTTCTGTAGGAATTATCCCATTAAATTAGGATAAGGGAAAATAAGATTTCTGGAATTATTTCTAGTAAAAGTTATCATACTGGGTAGTGTAAGATTGCGGTGATGATTGTACAACTCTTAATATGATTTAACTACTGAATTGTATGGTAGGTGAATTGCATGCCAATAAAACTGCTTTATAAAAAAATATGTTACATTGGGGAAGAAGTCTAACTGTGTGGCGTACTCTTACCTGTCCCACATATGGATAGGCATCTTCAGAGTCAATGCCCCGGTTCCTCTGCACATACTGAAAGGCATTGGTCATAAAGCCTCCTCCACAGCCATCATTCTCAGACACACAATCCACCAGATTCTGAGGGCTCAGACTTAAGAGTTTTCCAGTTTTCTTCTTGAGTTGGCCTTCTAAGGCACCCACAGAGCTAAAAGCCCAACAGGAACCACATACTCCCTAAGAAGAACACAGAGAAAAGAGGAGTCATTGCTCTTCACCATTTGTCTGCCTTCCCTCTACCTGCCTAGTAAAATTCCAAGCATATTATTAAGTCCAGCACCAGTGTGAGTTTTGATCTGAAGTTTCCGATTCCCCTTCATTTCACATCTGTGGCATTACTCTGCTGCTACTGATAATCATTGCTCACATTGTTACAGGGAGCTTCGGTTTTAAGGCAGCTTACCTGTTGTGGAGTCAGTCCCTTTGGGTTCTAACCCTGGCTTTGCCATCTGTAACCTTGGACAAGTTACTTAAATTCTTTGTGCCTCAACTTCCTTATATGTAAAATATGTTTGATGATAATGTATTTCCTGGGATTGTTATGAGGAGAAAACAAATTCTCTAAGCTGAAAAATTAATGGTGAATGTCTATCACACATCATATATGAAAATTAACTCAAAATGGATCAATGAATGAAATATAAGAGCAAAACAACCATAAAACTCTTGTAAGAAAACCCATGGGCAAATCTTCATGACCTAGGATTCGGCAATAGATTCTTAAACATAACGCCAAAGGAACAAGCAACAGAAGAAATGATATATACATTAATCAAACTAAAAGTCTTTGTGCAATATTATAAAGAAAATGAAAAGACAACAGAGCATTGAGAAAATATCTGCAAAACAGATATCACAAAAGGCATACCATCTAGAAAACATGAAGAATCCCGCAGCTCAGCAATAAATAGAAAACCAAATTTAAAAATAGGTAAAGGGCATGAATAGACATTTAGTCCAGGATTACAAATGGCTACTGAGCAGAAGAAAAGATGGTCAGCATCATGTTATTAGGAAAATGAAATCAGAATTGTGATGAAATACCGCACTACACCCACTAGTATGGTGAGTAGGAAAACACACACAAACAAGAGGCAAACAACAAGGACTGGTGAGGATGACGTGAAATTGGGCCTTCCTGCATTATGGGTGGGAATGTAAAATAGTG